GTCTTTGGTCTTCGATGCTGGGGTGGAGGGACCCAGAGATTCTACTTCCTCTGACTCTTAGGCCTCCCCCAAGGCCATCAGCCTCCTGTCAAGTTCTGGCTTGCCCCCAGGGGCCCATGGCTCAGCTGGATTCTCCTCCTTGTGTACAGGCTATTCTTGCACCTGGCATTTCCCACTGCCTGCACTCTCTGGGGTCCAGAGGCTGCTTAGAGACTTGGACCAGAACCTGCTCCTGGTAGGGCCCTTCTCAAACCCAGAATAAGCAAGAAGCAACCTGCAAGGCCGGGAGCTGGACCCTCCTCTGCTAGTAGGCCTTCCCCTGCCACAGGGTGAGACCCACCAGAACCCTCTCAGAAGATGGCTGAGGCTGGCAGCACCAATGAAGAAAGCAGTGTAGACAAGTCAGTGGCTAGGAAGGCCCAGCCCTGGGCCCTGAGTGTGGCTTGGTCGGCGAGAGCCTTTGTGCCTCTGAGCTCCTCAGGGAAGGTGTCTGTCTTAGCTTGCCCTTCCCTCTCCGTTTTCAACACTACTATGTGCCAGACCCTGTGCAGGGCACTGAGGTCACCTCCAGCATCCTTAAATGACCTCTTCAGCTCACCGAGACTGACCACAGGCAGGATGGCCAGGTGGTACCCTTTTCTGAGCAGAATTCCAGGGATGTCCTGTGGATGGGGAATAGGAAAGCTCCGTTGGCTCCGTTGTTCTGCCATCAGGGCAGCTTCTGTGTTGGCCTAGGGTGGTTGCACATACCAGGCAGGCAACCTCAAAGCAGGGAGCTTTACAAACAGCCCATCTTCCCTTACTCACTACTCATTAACATTTCCTGGGGCCTGGTCATTGACTGTTTAGGTTAAATCTTGCCTTTTTTCTGCAGGCATCTTTTTCTTCTTCTTCTTCTTCTGTTTTTCACTATGACTAAGTCACAGACTTGATTTGATCTTACCAGTTTTCCCACTAATGCCCCCTTTTCTATTCAAGGATACCACTTTGCATTTATCCATATTATTTTTTTAGTCTGGTCAAATACCCAAACCCAAACCAAACCCATTGCCATTGAGTCGATTCCGACTCATAGCAACCCTATAGGACAGAGTAGAACCGCCCTATAGGGTTTCCAAGGCTGTAATATTTTATGGAAGCAGACTGCCACATCTTTCTCCCACAGGTCGGGTGGTAGGTTCAAACCGCTGACTTTTTGGTTAGCAGCCAAGCGCTTAACCACTGTGCCACCAGGGCTCCTTTGGCCAAATACACACAACATAAAATTGACCACTGTAACCGTTTTAAAATTTACAGTCCAGTGGCACTATGTACATTCACAATGTTGTGCAGTTTTTACCACTATGTAGTTCCAGAACTTTTTGATCACTCCAAAAGGAAACCCCTTACCCATTTATCAGTCACTCCCTATTCCTTCCT